AGACCACGGGGAGCGCCACGTCATGCATACTTCACATGTTTCAAACCTCAGTGACGACACCCGTCTTGATGTCGAGCACGAATCCCCGCACCCCCTTCTTCAGAGCCTCGGGTAGCAGCTCACTCTGCTGCGCGGCCTCAATATCCTCCTTCACGCTTTCAGCGATCGTCTTGTCGTGAAACGAGATCGGTGGCCAAGCCTCGATTTCCGCCCTCCTCTCCGGATGCCTGTTGCACGAATGACGGTTAGAAAGAATCCAGTTTCGCACAGCTACAAGGATAGGCGAAACGACATAAGGACGCACCGCGCAATCGTATCGGCCTTCAAGTCCTCGTCCTTGAAATGTGTCGCGCCGCAGTCGGTATGGTGCACGATGAGCAGCTGCTTGAGGGTCCCGTGGCCCAAGAGGGCGTCGAGCGTGATGATGTCGATCAGCGAGAGCCTCACACGTCCGCCGGCGTTGCGGAGGACGGCGGCGTCGCCGGGCTTGAGGCCGAAGAACTCCTCGGGGTGGACGCGCGGGTCGCAGCACGTAACAAGGACGCTCGAGGGCGGCGGGATGTTGAGGGCAGCTCGATCCGAGAGGTATGGACGCGGTTAGTAGGACGCGAGGGAAGCCTTGTTCCGGGCGAGTAGGTCAGCAACGGTCAGGGTGGCCATGATTTATGAGCTAGTGTGTTATGTTGAGATGGAGATCGTGAAGGACGAGTATCAAGGGTGTTTGAGTGCGTATATGTAGGAAGCTCTGTGGGCTTTAAGTGTGGCTGAACTGGCCGTGACGCCCCGCAAATACGAACTGCGCTTTCCCGGTGTTGCTTTGCCATCCGTGCTCCGGTGCCCGAGGCTGCAAATGTAAGATTACAGCAGTGTACGCACCAGATTGCCAAGTCGCTTTCTGTGCTTGTGCGATACAACTTCTTGTTCGCGGGATGGCTCGGTATCAGCGCATGCCGCGGTCGGCTGAGATCATGCCCGAGGGACCCTTGAAGGCTTGATCAAGGTTACTAACCATAGCGCGCAAGAGTGAGCTACTGGAAGGCGCGCTTGCCTACCGCTTGTAGTCAGCTGCTTGACTGCACACCTTGGGGAATGTCGAGAGAAACACTCCGCTCGAAATGTATGCAGTGTTGGAAGGCCCTTCAATAGGTTATAGAATCGATACAATATGGAAGATGAAGCGCCCCACGAAACGCAGAGTCCCGGGCATTATCTCTTCAGAACATCTTCGGTCGGAACCATGCTGTATCGTATCGCTTCTCGAGAGATAGGACTCAGCAGCCGTCCAGAAGCCAGCTGACGCAGCATGCGCAAGGGATGGTAGTGTGTAATCAGCCTTCTTGCCAAGTGTGCTAATTTGCGGGAGCGTCGGTTGAGTTACCGCAAAGGGAACGGTTAAGGCAGGTAGAACGCACCGTAATGTCGGAAGATCGACGAGAACGGGGCGGGCTGGCTCTGAGGCGGAGGTTAGGAAAGCGCTGGCGTGAGTCAAGGAGCCAGATGCGAAACTTACTGAAAGAAGCAAGGGTCCGGTCTTTGAGCGTTGAATGAAGACCCCGCCTGCACGGGAATATGCCAACATTGAGTATGGAGCTGCGAAAGCGAAGCAGCTTGATTCACCTGGTAGGCGCAACGGGTCTTTGAGGCGCAGTAGGAGCGCGAACAGCGGAAAGTGGTTGAGCAGAGCGGTGATAGTGTCGAACATGGCGTGAACGATGATGACACACAACCTCGCCTACAGAGCCAATTAGCCAAGCAGATACACTGACAGCACAAAGGCACTGACCGTAGCGAAGAGCGCATAGTAAGTCAAGACCGTCGGCAAAAGGAAAGCGAGCAAAGTGAACAAAATCGTCCCCAGAAGTAGCTGGTCCATGTCGTAGTCCCAAGAATCGATCCGGTGTCGCAGGACATTGTACCGCTTCCCCCGGAATAGATTCCAAAGCGAGCCTGCGAGGCCAAGCTGATGGCTGAACACCGTGGCGGACAGGTAGTAGCACACGTATAGGTGCGCCATGAGCACGCTAAGACTATCGGAGAGGAGGGAGACGATCATCGTCATTCCACAACAGCCACCCACGCCGATGAACCAGACGAGGGCGGGGAAGCAAGGCGCAGCATGTTCGAGCAGCCCTGAATGCCCGGAGTCAATGAGCACGTGAAACCAGCCAGAGGAGGAAATGGGACGTACATCCCCACACAGAGACTAAGCCTACGAGGGAGTGGCAGTAGAATTGACTCAACTCAGTGTTGAGCTTGAGACCTGCAGGCCAGCTGTTCAGCCAGAGCAGTGCCTCGCGCATGCCATCTATGAGGTATGTCTGGAAACAAATGCATTGTGATTAGAGGGCGGTGGAGCATTCAATCAAGCGCACCTGCAAGCCATAGTGCAACCACTGAGCGAAGAACTGTTTGTTCTCGCATAGAAATGAACCGAAAGCGACGCCGATGATGACGTCGTTACAAGACCAGCCAGACG